GAGATGGGAAAGTTGACCAGAATGCACCAAAAGGATATTCCTTGCCATATAATGTTGTGCTCAGCAGTAAAACCTGTGCATTTGGTCTTTCCAATCCAGCTGTTGCTTGGGGACTGGCTGAGCATTGGTGTCCTGGCAGGACATAGTGCATCACTGACTTTGCATCACTTGTTTGGGTTTTTTTGATTTATTTCCTTGACTTTTTAAACTGTCTTCATTATTATGTATGAATTTTTCTTACTTTTGTTCTTCCATTTCTCTCCCCCTATCCCACTGGAAGAGGAGAGGGAAGTGAGTGGGCAGCTGGTAGATGCTTAGTTACTGGTCAGGGTCAACCCAATGCAAAGATATTTCAAGCTTTGCCAGTAACAGACTGCCTAAGTAACTGTCATATGTATTCTCAGTTTCCTTCTCAATCACCAAAATGACTTCTGAATTATTCTCAATCCAACATCCCAGGATTTAACACAGTTAACCTGGTACAGTGCAAAATGGCTTTACCATTCACAGTTTTAACAATACTGTCCAACTCTCATTGTGTCAGATGTGAGGTTATGAAAACAAATTGACCATTTTGTTGTTCTTCTGCACAAGCCAGTTCCTCTAGTCCTACTAATAAATCACTAGAGACCATTTGCTCAGCAACTAGGTTGTCATGAAAGCAGTAAATTACCCAGCTTCTCAAATGCAACTACAGACTTCAGCAACTTTCTGAATATAAGCAAGCTCGGAGACAAGTTTCCCAAAAGGCTGATTAAGAAAATGTTCAACAGAACTAGAACTAATATGACTCTAATGAAACAGTCCATTCTAGATAAAGGGAATCTCATATGTTTGAGATTCAGTTCACTGGAAATAATTTTTTGCTCTAAATACACCCACAGCTACATCCTTTTTGTGGAATAGCCTTACTGGAAGCAATTTTTTGCATTCCTGACTACTAGAGTTCTCCTCCTCCTAGCTACCATGTCATCCCAAGTCTCCCATATCAAGAGTGTGCTTTTCCTAAAGCAAACATTAAAAAGTAGTCCAAAAAGTGTCATCTTTCTTTAAAATAGTTTACTTCATCATCTGCTTGATAACACAAAAATGTCAAAATGACATTTCTTGCCCCTTATCAGCTTTACCCCAGACACAATCACATTAGTTTTTAGTCACTTACATGGCTGTAACCAATTTAAACAAATTTAACAATTTAACCAACTCGGTCCAAGATGGTTCAGCTAAAGGCACTAAACACAATAAAATATCACCATGTTTGACAGCTCCGCTTGTTATGCACAGTAACAGGCAGTGCGGCAATACCATAGGGAAGGTGTGTGTTAGCATAGATCAATCCTCAGCAAAACTTGTGGTGTACAGAGGAAACAATTCACGATAAGAGAGCAAAAAATAAATTCTTGCTACAGGTTTTTATATATTTTTGCTTAATTTGTATAATTACAATAGTGCAGATCCACAGGAAGGATCGTAGATATTTAATATTAACAGCTAGTCACAGTAAGAGAAAATAACGAAATTATAGTGACAGCATCTTTCAAGTAACACAGTCTGGTAGCACAGGTGGACAGATTAGCATTCAGACAGGACCAGATCTTTAGTCTGGAAGGGATAGCTGGTCTAAGCATCTGTCTGTGCCTCTCTCTCATACTGTTTGTTCTAACAAAATATTTCTTCCTTACGCAACTAGCCTTGCTTTTGGTCATCCATAATAATATGCACAACACTGGCTTATATATTCAAGAGAATTTATATTTACAAACATACGGGCATTTGTGTACATATGTATGTACAGACATATACAAATATTCATGCTATTTTTATATATACAGTGTTTTTAAAAAAGGACTTGACAAGGTTATTGTTTTTAGAATAAAACTCTTAATGACCAGGGCTGCTAACAAAGAAAATTATCGCTTCCTGGCCTTCACCCAACGTAGCGCATTAGCTGTCCTAGACTGGTCACTTAGCTTTTGGATCAAAGTTGCACTTGCACTCGGAATATGGGCAAAATGGACTTGTGTTTTCCTGCTGCATGTTCTGTAGGCAGTTTCAAGTCTGGTCCAAATATAGCGGGTGCCGTTTCCTTCCAAAAATGACAAAGCTAAAAATTCCGTTCAATATAACCTTTTAATATCTGAAAGCTGTTTGAAACTCTAGTTTCTTCTTGCAGATTACTTTCTTTTAAATTCCTGAGCTCACATGTTGCTGCTTCTTCTAATTACAGAGAGTCCGCAGGGATATTAGTGTCAATGATAAAATGTCATCTGAGGAAAAGATACTCCTAAGTTTATTTAAACTATTTTAGTTTCATTTTTTCCTCAACACTTTCATGTTGTGTGCTGTAAAGAGTTCCTTAGTGAAAGAAATGAGTGAGCCTAAATAATAAAGTATTTCCTTCAAGACAAATCTTTTAGCCAGATCACAGTGAAATAAGTCCCTACAGTAAGGCACAAAATCTTATACTTACAAGTTAATGGATTCAGGGAGGTATTTAAGTTACTCATAACAGAAGTTCTGTTCTGTACAGGGTCTCGAGCAGGACTCAGACATGGATCTAGTGCTGGCTACTATGGAATCTATGTTCTAAAGCAGTATGAGTTTGGGCACATATTGCACTATAAATGGAAGTTGGATGGAAACAGTAGCAAAGTACAGTACTATACAGAAAGTCACTCAGAGGTTCAGCATGTGAGAAGTCTTGTAGAAGATAATGAATATGTGAAGAGGGTTAGATGAAGAGTCAGTTCCATCTGTTGTTAAATGCTGCCATACCCATCTCTATTGCACCTTTTACAAACAGAATTTCTAACCAGGAGAACATTTCCATGCCAAGTAGGTGAATGACCACTACAGTTCAGGAATATTAATGCCAGTGTTGTTTCATTTTTCTAGGATGTGTCAGTCACTCCTTCCCACTTTCCTATTCAATTTCCACTATCTCCTATATCATTCAGGATGAACAGCTTGCCAGCTGTGCCTACCTCCCCTTTCTTTTTTTAAAGGCAGATAACCTCAGTTTTCCATGGAATAATGACTTCTATGAATTATTTTGAGATATAATTTTAAAAAAACCCTAAAAATTAATGTCCAAGTAATACTTTGTTTTGCATTCTCCAATGCCTCTTCTGTCAAAAAAGCTAGCCTTCTTCCACTTTTTCCTGGTGTTACTTTTGCTATGACAAACACTGAATAACAATTTTTAAAGAAAATCAATTTACAAAGAGAAAGATGAGAGTGTGGAAAGTAAACAGTGGTTAATAATATTGAATTATTCAAGCCTTATCAAGATACAAATATAATAAGCAGATATATAAGCATAAAAACCGGAACAATTAAACCTCATCAGCCAATTCTCTGAGAGAATATATATAACAAGCTAAAAAGACTATAAACAATCTATTCAATGTCCAAGGTTCAGAACATGTGAATGCAAGCATTATTTAATTGGAGTCACGAAGTTAACATATTTACAACAAG